AAAACTATATTAGCATAAGGACTAATAACATCCATATAATTATGTGAACGGCTATTTGCCGCCAACCAAATTGCTATTTGCCGCCAACCAAAAAAAAAAAAAATTGAATTCAAATTTTGAATTTTCCCTCCCTTCCCTTCCTTTCATTCTATAAATTCAGATATCAGGAACATTTGACTCATTCCATCAAAAACTTCTGTTGACGAGCCCAGTGCCTCCGTCGCCGGCACCGTTCTTCCGTCGTCGACTAACCTCCCGTCGCCCTCAATCGTCGGAAAACAAGTAAGTTTATTTTTTCCGGCCAGTTTTCCAGTTTTCTGGCGAAAAACAGGGCGGGCCGAAAAAAAACGGCAGCCCGAACGCCGCCGAGCCGAAAAATATTTGCGGCCGGCGCGACGGCCAGCCGAAATATTCTTTCGGCCCGGCGACGCCTCGGCCGCAAATTTTTTTCGGCCGGTCGCCGACCATGCCGCCCAAAAAATTTCCGGCGGCGTGTTCGTCGGCCGGCCGAAAAAAATTGCGGCCGGAGCGACGTCGGGCCGAAAAACATTTTCGGCCGGTGTAATTTAATTTAATTTAATACAATAATTAATTAGTAAATAAAAAATTACTTAATTAGTTAATAGAAATTAGCAATTAGTGTTAATATTTATTTAAGTTGGTGTATAAATGTTTTTTTTTTGTAATAGGAGTTTGAATGTTTAATTACTTAGATTAGTTAATGGAATTTTAATTAATTAAGAATTGATTTAACAATTAATGTTAATATTCAGTACATTAGTTAATAGAAAATTAATTAATTTATGATTAATTAACAATTAATTTTAGTAGTACATTAGTTAGTAGAAATTTAATTAATTTGTGATTAATTAACAATTAATGTTAATATTACATTAGTTAATAGAAAATTAATTAATTAGTGCGCATCTAAGTATGATATTTTGTAAATTTGTAGATAATTAGATATGGATGATGCGGGTGGGGATAAGTTGTATAGATTCAATGGTAGGATTGTTGATGCATCAGCACGAAGGAAGAATAAGGAGAATAAGCGCTCTCGAGATATTGGACATCAGTCACGGGCAAATTTAGGGGAGGATGAGTTAGAGGCTCCTACTGTAGTTGCTCGTTCGGCATCACGGGCGTCTGGTTCCCATGGGAGGAACCAGGGTGCTGCATCGAGAGTGGTCTCGGCTGAGTTTGATGAGGACGATAGTGATGAGGATATCGAGGTCCCTCCACCTACGCGTGGACATGGACGAGTGTCGTCTCGTACGGCAACATCACGTCCTGCTATGTATAGGGACCGAGCTGGGCGATTCGTACCACCTGCTCGTCAGGAGAGAGAGAGCTCGGGGACTGGACGGAGTAGGGGAGGACGTTCGAGTGGTCCTCCACCGTGGGAGCTTGTTGGTGAGTGTCCTGGTGGACCTACGGATCCTAGTCTCATTAGGAGCTTTCGTGGCCACGTTGCCTATGCGCTTTGGACGGGGGCTGGAGATCGAGGGGTCATCAGTTGCTACAGCCATACATCGGCGGTTGCTTATTTGAGTAGCTACGTGTTTATTCATGTTGAGGCGGAGAATCTGGTTCAGCAGTCAGGTCTACAGCACCTGATGTACTCTATGTTCCGCAAGATAGCGATTGACGAGGCTTTGATCTCAGCTTTTGTGGAGAGGTGGCAGCCAGACACGAACACCTTCCACTTGCCTTTTGGAGAGATGACGATCCTCCTCCACGATGTTCAGTACTTACTGCAGATTCCTGTTGAGGGACGACTGATGAGTAAGAGTTCTGCGCAGCTTGACCATCCGGAGGCGGGTTTGTGTGCGCTTCTTGGGATGAACTCGGAGCAGTTGAGTGGTCGTTCGGAGGTCCCTGGATATAATAATAGGGGTAAGTGGTACGAGAAGGGTGGTTTTCTTGCAGAGATGGCGTCCAGATACTTGCAGAGCCACGGGACACATGTGACAGAGGCGCAGTCATACTTGTTGTTGTCGAAATATTTCTTCCATACCGCATGTGCTACCTCTCTTTTTGCAATTCCACCAAGTAACACTTCAAACTTTTGCTTCACACAGTTGTTGACGTGCCATAAACATAGTAGGTGGACAGTATGTGGGAGAGGGAAGACCACAGGAATAGAAGCAAGCAAACCACCTTCTTTGTCTGTCACAATGACATTCGGAACCGTATCACCGAGCAACCCTTTAATACATCGCAGCAGCCACTCATATGTTTCCTTTGTTTCCTGCTTAATAATTGCACATGCAATGTTGAAATTCTTCTTCACTGGAGTAACCCCAATAATCTCAACCCATGGCCAGCCGTACCTGTTGGTCTTGTAGGTCGAGTCAATGAGGATGACGTACGACCATGCATGCAACATCTGAATGGACGTCGGGTGCGCAAAAAACAGATTAGTGAGCACATTATTAGAGTCCTTTTGCAAACAGATATGGTACCCACGATGTTCAGCTCCGTGAAGCGCAAACTGTATCGCATCCATTTCACCCATCTCATCCAATCTTGTCTTGGAATTTATGTTGTACATTCGTTTGATATCATGATGCACACCCCCTTCAGTATTGAGTGTCGTCTTCTGCTGATTTGGTCTCACCCCCGCCTTCCTCATTAATCTTAACCTCTCTTTTTCAGCCTCACTAAACTGTTTGTTGTGTCGGTGATGTTCTGGATACAACACCTTTTCATGGTTGTGAAACCCTCTATTAGCTCCGGTTTTACGACTTGTCACTCCCACCATGACCCATGTGTTTGGACCATCCTTTTGCCATACTTCCTTTATACATATCTGAAACTGGCAACCAGTACCCTTCAAACTAATATTCCCACGCGTCTCCTTCGTAGGGTCTGGTTTATAAGACTTAACGATCCTACTACTTCTGTCGCAATACATACAGAGGGCAGTAACAGGATTCTGTCCAGCAGTATTCGGTTTCCATGCTCCTCTAACAATAAAGAACCCACACTGCTGAGCGATTGTTCTTGCAGCTAACTCAGCTAACTTCACACTTGCATAATGGATCCCATTCTCAAATTCCTGTGTGTAATCATGATCGGCCGGTAACAACTCTGACATTTTTCCTACAATTACAATATAATACATCAATATTCCTGTGAACCTAAACGCTAATTTCAATTCTTAACCGCTAAATTCAACTCCTAAACTCTAAATTCAATTCTTACACGCTAAATTCAACTCCTAAACTCTAAATTCAACTCCTAAAATCGAATTTTTCTGAAAAATTGCAAAAACAGACTGTGGGCCGAAAATTTTCGGTGGCCGGAACCTGGCCGGGCCGAAAATTTCCGGCGGCCGGAACCTGGCCGGGCCGAAAATTTCCGGTGGCTGGAACCTGGCCGGGCCGAAAATATCTTGCGGCTCAGCCTGGTTCCGGCCGCCGGAATTTTTCGGCCCGGCCAGGTTCCGGGCACCGGAAATTTTCGGCCCGGCCAGGTTCCGGCCGCCGGAAATTTTCGGCCCACCGTCTGTTCGTTTCAAATCGTCGGAAAAATTGTTCGAAACTACAAAAAAATTACGCACCTGCTTAGTGATGATTCATTGATGCGTGTACGCAGTATATGTCGAGGATATGCTTTCCCGATGATTTTCCGGCGACTTTTCCGGCGATCGTTGAATTTTTCTGATTCAATACGTTCTCTGAAAGTTGGATATGTTGTAGATTGTGAAACTCCTTACCCAAAGATGTATATATATACTTTTTTTCTTTTTTTTTTGGTTGGCGGCAAATAGCAATTTGGTCGGCGACAAATAGCAATTTGGTCGGCGGCAAATAGCAAGCCCCATAATTAGTAGGACTACATTACAATAAAGACTAATACAATCTATACATTATCCATATTATTAAAGTTAGATACGAAATAACGTCGTTTTGCATTTTGGACACGTGATTGATGGAACGAGGGACGTATATCGATAAAGCCCACACCCGACTGAACCCGTCGATTCCAAAAGCGGATAAAACTAGCAAACCCTCACCCAACCCTATAACTATCAATAATGGATTTTATCATGTTTAACTAGGTAGAATCGAGTCTCCTACCCATGAATTTGAGTTCAATTATCATCCATAACAAATTGGAGAGTCGGCGGAACAATTTGGTCTTCTCCCTCTTTTTTAATGCAACTATAACGTTAGATTATATTCATGACAAAAGAAAAGGTTTTTTTGAATTAATTGATGGTACTATATTAGCAGTGTTATTAAAGTCGAGCCGAGCCGCTCGGCCCGACCGGTAAAACCGTCACCCGGTCACAAAACCGGCTCGGAACAGTTTAAAAGCCGCTCTGATTTTATGTAGCGGTTGATGAGCGGCCGAGGCGGTTAACCGTTAGAGCCGATAGCCGCTCGTCCGGTTTTTGCCATTCAGCCACTAAATTTAATTAAAAAAATTGTAGAAAATTGAAAATTGAAATAAACCAAAAACGTCGAGCTCTCAAATTGAATCCTTATTTCCATTTCACACTTTCGAAGGAAAGAGATGAGCTATGATTAAGAAATATCCACTATTTATACTGATAACCTTTATTAGATACCGGTTCTCTAACGGTTTTTAAACGGTCTAATGCCGGTTGAACCGCTAAAGTGCGAGCCGTTCGCATTACCGGGTCATACTCCGATTCGGTTCTGACAACATTGTATATTAGAAAAGAGAAAAGACACGGTTATATCACACTTGTTGCCACTTGCCACAATTAACTATAAAGTGAAAAAAAAATTAACTCAAACCATTAAACACTATATACCGGAGCTTTAGCATTTGCCATGTTAGCAGTATTTCCATCCACAAAACAAAAGGGAAACAAAAGAACGAAGAAGTCAAAGTACATAAGGTTTTTTTTTTCATAGATATTTTATTTTTCAATGTCGAAATCGATATACATGGAGAAACAAACTAATATAATTATTCATGAACGAACTGTCTATCAAAGAGCAAGAATAAATAACTTGTATTTTCAATTGATTACAGGTATATTACATAATGAGAAAAGCTGAAGAACAGATATAGATATTTTACCGGTACGTACATCTGCGTAGATAAAATACAATTTATAAATGTAATAAACCAATTTTCTAACCAATAAAAAATCAACAAATCCCCGTATGTGTCTATTTACCAAAAAAAAAAATAAAATAAAGCAGAGCCAATTTCGGCCATAAAAAAGTGTAGAAACTAAAGTTGTAAGCCCGTAAGTGACCACCAATGGGCCGGGCGGCCTGTATTCTTTCCAGGACCCGTAAATTCGACGATGAGATGACGTCATTGCTGCCGCCGGTCAGCCAACCCGAAGGGAATCATCACAACTGGATACGAAGAAGAAACTGTAGAATGGTGGTGCTGATGTTGATGGTGGAGAGCTCTGTTATTATTGCGATGGACACTGCCGGCGAAGTTCATCTGGTTGACCAAGGACGGGCAACCCGGCCCATTGGATCCGGGTACGTGGGTACACCCGGAAGAACCCGACGGAGGGACGGGTCCCCTCTGGAGCGACGACTTCAGCTCCTTCAGCATGCCGTCGACTTCCCTGTCCATCAACGGCCGGCCACTGGCTTGGTACGGCTCCACCTGCAGAAACAGCACCAGAAGTACTCCGGCCAGGACCGCCGCCGCCGCCGCCCGGTCAATAACGACGACCCTCATGATGATTAATCACGGTATGTGTATATCTTGATTTCTGATTCGGGGTGCTGAAACTATAAGGGTTTGTTTGGGAGAATTACTTGGAGGGAATTGTTTTGGAGGGAAGGAGGCAATGAGATAGTTATGGGTTTTTATACTGTCAGGGTGTTCGTTTTTGGGAGGGATTTCTGACCGTTGACTGGAAATATAATACAGTCAAATATATTGAACGAGTCCGGCATATACAAACGTTACGCATATAGTGGGTAATTAAGCCAATGGTTTAATAGTAATAATAATAATAATGATGATAATCAAAATTGATTAATTAAGAAAGTGAGATTTGAGGAGCTTGAGTCCCAAGTATCAAACAATCTCAGATACTGCCACCGCCGACGTGATTGTGTAACAGGAAGTTTCCCGGATGTACGGATGTGAGCTGCTTCCTGACCGGCCGGGGGGGAGAAGCTAGCTCAACGTGGCATTTCTTTCTAGTGTCAGTGATGACATACATAACACGTAGAGAGGAATGGAAATATTATTTATTGGGGGGGATTAGGTGGGTAGGGAGACTAATTAAGTAATTTGATGCCTGAATTATATTTAATTAACCACTACTGGTTCATCGTTCATCGTCACCATTAGAGGTGTCGATAGGAATGGTCAAGTCAAGTTTAACTAGGTTGCGGGTAAATTGGAGTACGAGTTAACGGGTTGCAGGTTTGTTGGATTATATATATATATATGAGTGATTATTATTTTGGGTGTAGAAAAACTTTTGTCACTTAAACTTTAGTAAACTCTACAATTTCTCGTATCACTTTTATCGGCTAAATTACAAGTTTGGTCACTCTAATTATATAAAATTTTCACGTTTGCCACTCAAATCACTTTTCTTTCTAATTCACCACTAACTTTACGAATAGTTTCACCATTAGTCACCGGACGCTAGTCCCCGTCAAACTCCGTGAACTCCGTCGGTTTTTTAATGACGTGGCAAACGGAACTGCTGACTAGACCGTTACTTAATGACATGTCAATTTAAAAAAAAAATAAAGAAGTACAAAATAGGCAGAGAGTCCCACCAGGCCTGCCTCGACCTCCCCTTCCTCCCTAGTTCCCATTCTAATAAAGACGCCTCGCCTTCCCTCCCCAATTTCGCGGCGGTCATCCGGCCTCCAAACATCCCAATCCAATCATTTTGATATCCTCACCTTCCGCCCCAATTCCAAAAGACGATTTTCAACTGGCCTCCTACAGCCTCCCCCGCTGGACTACGCCTCCCACAAGAAAGTCCGGCATGCCAAGATGAAGGCCTCACCGTCCTTGTCGATTTTGAACGAGAATCCAGATCTCAGGGTGTCCGAGAGGGAGCTGCTCAAGGATGGGGTGGAGAATCCTCCGGTTTTCTTCTCTCACTTCGCGAGCGGGTTGAATCCCCAACTTGACCCTATCGACGGCGGAGATGCCAGTACGATAACTCTCTGCTTCCTCTAGGCACCAAGCCAGCTTGTTATTTCTCCGCAATGTCTTTCAATTCGTCCTCCGAGATAACCGAGCTCGAAACCCAGACTCCGAGCTCCACCAATTCTTCCGATTGCAGCTCTTCGATTCCGGATGAAGCTGAAATCATAGCGAAGCTGAAAAGGCCCGAGGTAATGAACAGGAACAAGGCAGATTCAGCTGCGGAAGCTGAATAGGACCAGAGACGAAATCAGGGATCCGCTCTGCACTGACCGCCTTCTACTAGTACAGACAAAGATTTCCACCCCAAGAAATCGTCTTCTGGAATTGGAGGATGAGTATGACCGCCGTGAAATTGGGGAGGTGAAGCGTCTTCCAGGATGGGGGAAGGCGAGGTCGAGCTAGACCTGGTGGGGGCACTCCTCTGCCTATTTTCGTCTTTCTTTTATTTTTATTTAAATTGACATTTCATTAATTTAACGGTCTAGTCAGCAGTCCCGCTTGCCACATCATCAAAAAATTGTCGGAGTTAACGGAGTCTGACGGAGACTAACGGCCGGTGACTAACGATGAAACTATTCATAAAGTTAGTGGCGAATAAGAAAGAAAAGTAATTCGAGTGACAAACATGAAAGATTTATGTAATTTGAGTGACCAAACGTATAATTTAGCCCATTTTTATGGGGATTGCTATTCGTCGCCCTAAAACTCTTTATTTGTCGCCCTAACATTCATTAAAATGACTTAAATATCCTTAGCCCATATCATGAAAGGAAGAGAGCTAATTGCCCAAAGCTAAACACGAAAACTAATGCATAATAAAGCATACTGGCCATTCTTCATTAGTGATTCTGGTTTACATACGGAATCAACTGAGGAAGCAGGCTTCGGATGGTAATTAGTAGTGGGAATCCTTATCTGAAAATGCAATGCATAAGCAGAAATGAATCCTGTTTTGGAAGCCATGCAGAAGCAGAAAATGGTCGCGACCTATCTATGAGCTCTCCGGCGAGGTGGGGGAATGGGAGCGGCGGCGGATTGGGAGAACGGTAGCGATGGTCGTACGAGGAGTGGCAGCGGGTTGAGGGAACGGCAACAGTGGTCCAAGTTAGGGATTGTGGATTGAATTTGAGTACAAGGATATAATTGTCAATATAGTATGATTTAGGGCGAAATAATTCAAATTTTAGGGCGACAAATAGCAATTCAGATTTTTATCTGAATCGCTATTCGTCGCCCTAAAATTCAAATTTTATCGCCCTAAAATGCAACAAATTGACATATTTATCCTTATACCCAATTTCATATCTATACCCTAACCAAACAATCCCTAGTCCCTTCCTCACCCCAATTCAAATCCGCCGTCGTCGATACTACGTCATCAAACTCTCGATATGTGCTGCTACCTCAGTCCGCCGCTGCTCTTGGCTGCTGCTGCTGCGGAGATCCTCTAGGGAAAGACGTATTGGTGATGAGAGCAGGGAAGTGGTGGTGGCTTCTCGTTTCGATTAGAGGGTTTATTAGCTTTGGGTTTAGCTATCTCTCGGCCAAGTTGCAAGAAGGTGGAGGGGGAATAAATCCCTCTCTTGATTGCCTGTAGGTAGGAATTAATTAGGTCAACGTTTTCATGTTATAATTACCATTCATGACTAATCACTTGTTGAAAATTGGGAATTTCAAGAACCGGGTGTGACAGATTGTTTGATTCTTTTTCGTTGAATGGTTGGTTTTCTTCTTCTTTGTTGTTTCTATTTTGAATTTTGTTATTTGGTGTAGTATTTGAGTTTAATTTGGCGTTTAAGTGCTTGAAAGACAAATAAATGAACTAAGGGTATTGAAGTAAATGTAATTTAATTAGGGCGACGAATAAGGAATTTTAGGGCGACAAAAAGCAATGCCCATTTTTATCTGTCACTTTCTTACTTCTCAAATTCCATTTAACTATGAAAAAAAATAGAATTTTCTATAATCGTCAGTATTCCGAACATGCAACATGCAAGCCCAATTTATACTCATCCAAAAGTAATTAAACAATGGGGTAAACTATGCTTCATGTTATTAAACACAACAAAATTATGACTCGTATCATCAAATAGGTTTAACTTCTAACCTCTTATAGGGGCCGGATCCCATAACTAAGGGAGTGCCAAGCTCATAAATCTGGACACACCAATCTGACGGTTAAAAGTAGGAAGGAGTTTTTAATTGATAACAGAGATAGTTTGGGTATTATGAAAAATTACGAAGTATACAAACCGGACTTACAAACAGTACAAACCGTACAAACAATACAAACTAGAGCGATAAAACATACAAACAGATTTACAAACATACAAAATATACTAACTATACGAATAATACAAACTAGACCGACAAACATTACAAAACATACTAACTGTACAAAATGTCACTACTTACAATACAAAACAGTAAACTTGTATTACAAATCACAACATAAAGTATACAAACTAGACAAACGAACATTACAAATTACAATGTATACAAATTAGTCATATAAACATTACGAACGTAATAGATAAAAATGACAAACTAGAATGATAAACGACTCAAACCGAATTGATACAAAATCACAAAACATACTTACAAACAATACAAAATTGTCCAACAAACATAACAAAACAGACGTTGCCGGAAAAATCCTCTCCGCCACCGCTGGAAAATTCACCGATGCCGAAATATCCTCTCCTTCTCTCAGTCGCTAAATCCCCCCCGGCAGAAGCTGGAGAATTCTCCAGAAATGGACTGCGGCAAGAGGGCAGGGTGACACCTACTGTGTTTTTTTTACTTTAATTATTAAATAAATCATGTAACTACAACACCAGATAAATTTGAACTTTTAGATTTTAATGAGGTTCAATGGCTGAGATTGGCGACTAAGGGACCCCTCTTAGTCACCTGATCTTTGCCCCTCCTATAGCGATCTTTCTCCTCGGTTGGACCTCCGACCCAATATTGAAAACGTTGATCCCAACTTCTACAAAAATTACATCACAAAAAATGTTGTGAAATAATATGCGTGCTGTATTGAAATGAGAGCCTCATCATAGCAACACTAAAACAAAGCTTGGTATGGGTTGGAGGCATATAAATAAAGCACAAAGCAAGAAAAGAAGACTCTTTACAGAACGTATTCCTTATGAAAAAAGAAGAATACAACCTCAACCATCCATCCATCCATCCATCCATCACTCCAATCTAATGGACCCTCTCACATTATTACAAGCAGATAATCACCAACCCCAGACTCTTAAATCTGGCTGGTACTTCCGCTTCTCCACACCATTTCCCTCTTCTCAGTGTCCATTCGACGGCCGATACACTGTATACCCATTCACCCCACTGGCCAGATTCGAGTAGTCGGGGCTGAAGTAGGCCGAGGAGCCATCACCCTCCGAATTTCTCATCCCGCCTAGCGAAAGATCAGTACTCGACATATGCCACTGGTTAGAGACCAAGCCATCCATCATCTGCCCATTACTGTAAGGCAACAGACTATTACCCTGTGGGATGTAGTCCCTTATGGAGTCATACGGCCCCCCTCCGAAAGAACTGTACCCTCTCTGGAACACCCCGTCCTGGTAACTCCTTGCCCTCTCAAATCTGCATGAACTGCTGCTGGGTGAGGAACATAGATCAC